ATCTTATTTTAATTATATCTTGTATATATAGTAACTAGTACAATAAAATTATTATAATAAATAATAAAAATAATTTAAAACTTCATTGATGTTTAAATAGTATTAGTTTTGTATACTTTTTATGATTATTTCTTTAGACTTGATTATATTAGAAGGCTTGTCATAGATAAGCTTGTCTAGTTTGTCATCACACACATCAACATAATCGACGCATGCGTATTGCAATAAAATGTACAGACAAGGATAGATAGATGTTGAGGACAACGGCAAGTCAGCTATGCCCCTTCCAGTATATATGCTCTTTACGGAACGCAGCCTGTATATCTGTACGTGCGTATGACATATGATACCCGACGTGGTGATACAAATTAATAATATTGTAAAAATTTTTGAAAGATGCCGAGCAGTTGTTGCATTCCAAAATGCAAAAATACCACAAAAGATGGTTTTCATTTATTTAGGTAAGTAAAATATATTTATTTATAATTCGAGATTTGTAATATTTGAAGATTATGTTTCAGTTAAAATGTAAATATTTCAGATTTCCGTTGAATCGTCCAGACATTTTAAACATGTGGATGAATGCCATTGGAAGAGACGGTTTTAAACCCACAAAATATCATTTAATCTGTAGTGCTCATTTCATAGATACAGATTTTATGGAAAGACCTAATGCAAGTGGCGTACGTTTAAAAAATCTTGCTGTACCTTCGGTATTTTGTGAAACTCCAGCTCCTACCGTTAATTCTATTCCTGAGGATGTTACAACAATTGAGACTTCTTCAATTGAGTTTGATACTGCTTTTGCTTCTGCATCTGCTGTGATGCCAGCAACTGCATGGCAAATAAATATATTAAAACCAAGAGAAGAAAATTCAACATTTTCAATTCCATCGCCGAGTACAAGTGCTACTGATAGCATCAAAATAAACATGCGAAAACCGAGAAAAGTCATGGCCAATTCACTTTTAAAATTGAAGAAGCAGGAAATGAGTCCACGGAAAAAGTTAATGTGGAGAACGATCAAGTCATTAAAGCAAAAGCTAAAAAGAAAAGAAGAAAAAATACATTCTTTGGAGAACTTAATAAAAACTCTAAGATAAGTCAACAAATCATAAATATGTTTCAAAGCAGTATATATATTGAAGCTCGCACGTTCAGCTATTTTGCTGTTCAGTGCAAGTGTAGCTATATATCCTAACTTGTAGTGAAACTTTTTCGTATAAAAATATACTGCCATATAAATGAATCATGTATTTACAAATAGCTTACTTTTAAGTAAGCCTGCTGAAATGCACAAAGAAATGCTGCAAAAGATATGCTATTTCAAACAAACTGATTCAATAAAGGCAAGCTTCATTTATACAGCTTTGGCCCATTTCTACCAACGTAGATTAATTTTAATCTCTGTTCAACTTACTTTTCATCTTTTTCTAGTTTTAAGAATTAGATTATTAATTTAGTTTTATTATTAATTTAGTTTTTAGATTAGTTGCAAACGGCTCTTTGTGCTAATGATGTTGTAAAATATGAAAATGTTTAAAATTATAAAATTATATACATTTTATTAATGTAAATTGTATAAACACTGAATTGTACATATAATTAGAACAAAGAATCTTCTTGAGAGAGAGCCGAGTAAGATTATAGCTAACAATTTTGACGGAAGCATTGGCGAACTGTTCCAGAATGAATGGATCAATAAAAATAGAAATAAGAAAGGTTGTCGATATAGCGATGAAATAAAAAAATTTGCTGTAACTTTACATTTTTATTCACCTAAGGCCTATAACTATTGCAGGTACATTTCTGAAATTGTCATTATTGTTATATTTATAAAATTTTTTAATTAATATTAAAGGCATTTTTAGATCGATTTTACATTTACCGCATATAAGCAGTATCAGAAATTGGATTTCGTCGATTAATGCAGAACCTGGTTTCATGACCAATGTTTTTGAAGAAATATCGAAATTTCCAGAAGGTTTGCGCCATTGCAATTTAGTATTTGATTTGATGGCGATTCGGAAGCAGGTGCTGTGGGATGCAACATCTGAAAAATTTGTCGGATTATGCGAATATGGCAATGGATTATCTGTCGAAGCTGCGGAAACTGAAGCCACCGAAGTTCTCGTTTTTATGTTGGTTTCTCTCAGAGGTACATGGAAATGGCCTATAGGTTATTTTTTTGTGGATAAAATAACTGCTGCAGTGCAAGCAGAACTAGTAAAGACAGCATTAATAATGTCACAACAATCGGGCATTCGGGTATGGAGTGTTACGTGTGACGGAGCTTATGCAAACTATTTAACGATGAATTTGTTAGGTTGCAATATGTATACGACAAATTACAATGAATTGAAAAGCACATTTAAACACCCCAGCTCCGAGTGCATTTCGTACCCGATGCCTGCCATAATGTAAAACTTGCCCGGAACGCGTTTGGTGATCTCAAAATTATGAAATCTCCCACTGCGCAGATCAATTGGAATTATATGACAAATTTACACAAGCTTCAACAAAAATTGAATTTAAAATTTGCAAATAAACTTAGTTCTGCGCATGTAAATTTTAAAGCCAATATTATGAAAGTAAAGCTTGCAGCACAGACTTTAAGTTCTTCAACTGCTGCTGCTTTGGAATTTCTACAGTTTTCAGAAGTTGAAGAATTTAAAGATTGTGCTGGTACAATAGAATTTATCAAAACAATTGATGAAATTTTTGATTTTTTAAATTCGCGCAATCCTTTTGGAAAGGGGTTTAAAAAACCAATTTTTTATAATAATATCAACTTCTTACAACAAAGAATAGAACAAAAAATTCAATATTTATATACTCTAATGGGACCTTGCAACAATAAGTTATGTGCTAGTAAAAGAAAAGCTTTTATCATAGGTTTTGCAACGGCTGTTAAATCAATATTTAAAATAGCTAAAGAGATTTTGTTAGAACCCTATTTTAAATACCTAATGACATATAGATTCAGCCAGGATCATTTGGAATTATTTTTTGCGCAAGTACGGCAGCGACATGGTTGGAATAACAACCCTAAAGTGTTGCAATTCAAAGCAGCAATGAAAAGTTTATTAGTAAAAAATTCAATATCAGCATCAGTGAAAGCTAATTGTGCCGGTTTTGATATAGAAAACGATGTATAATTTAAATTAACATGGGCAAAGAAAAAAAATTTTAATAATTGGCATGATAATATTGATATCACAAATTCTGATAATAATAACAATTTATTTGAGGACTCTGAGAACGAAGAACTATATCGTAGCGTCAATATAAATGATAGTATTTTCCTTCAAGAAAACATTTTGTATTATATAGCGGGTTTTATAGTAAAAAAAATTATTGTTAAATTGACATGTAAAGGTTGCATTGCCAACATTACAAGAAAAGTCGGCGATAGGCAATATAACAGGTATTACACAATATTAATTGATGTAAAAAATAAGGGCGGTTTAATGTATGCATCGATTCATGTATATAAAATTGTTTGTGCAACCGAAATAGAATTCCGTCGGTCGTTAAAAGGTCGTGAAAATAAGTTACTAAATAAAAATGCGTTTTCTCAAATAATTTATCGAGTAATACGCAGATATGCGTTGGATACTGATATATTTTCTAACAGTAACGATTGCTACGAAGGATTCGAGATAGGTATAGATACGCCGCATCGTCTGCAGTTAATAAATATGATTTGTCGCAAATATTTAACAATTAGAATGTATTCATATTCTAGAATATTAACTAAAGATGTAATAAATCCCGTCAGTAAACGGCAAAAATTATCAAAATTAATACTTTTTAATAATACATAAATTTTACTTTAATAAATATAGTATTTTTTGCAATTCTTTTAATAAAATGTATTTTTTACTATAATATTAATGTTTTATTATTATTTTATGCGTCCATAGCATACGTTTTATTATTTTATAAATGTTATAAATATTTTTTAAATATTAGAATTAAAAAATGTTATTTTATTAAAAATGAAAAAAAGTACAAAATAAAAATATTTTATGGCCGGTTTATGCTT